TCAAGCAACAACCTCACCACTTCCAAGTGGCCACGAGCAGTTGCAGCTATCAAGGCGGTTGTCCCGTCTTGACTTGCTGCATTCTTGTCAGCTCCAGCCTCAAGCAACAACCTCACCACTTCCAAGTGGCCATTGACAGCTGCAGCCATCAAGGCAGTTGTCCCGTCTTGCCTTGCGGCATTCTTGTCAGCTCGAGCCTCGAGCAACAACCGTACCACTTCCAAATGGCCCCGTTCCGCTGCAAGATACATAGGTGGACGGCGAGGGTCTGCACCTGTCCCATTGGGATTCAACGGTTTCTGAAGCAAACTTGTAACTTCTACGACTCGATTGTTCTCACAAGCAAGGTGTAGTGCCTGCCAATTGGCCTCCTCAGGCGCACAAAAGTCCAAGATTACCAATTGCAAACTTGGTACTTGTCTGACAGGCATATCATCCTGTAGTTCGCCCATCTCTTCACTCAAGAGTCTCAATCGAAATCTTGAGTATCTAGTCTCTGTGGCAAGGAGCGTCTTCAAATCCCTAACAGATTTTCCGCTCTCCACCATGCAAGCCAGTTCCTCTTCATGAAGCCGGGTGAGAACTGTACCTGCAACCGTTACAATCTCCATTGCTGGAGCCCTAGAGGAAGTGGTATTTGATCCAAAATGGCTGGACATGGATGTTCATGAGAAACTGCATCTGTGGTATTCAGCCAGTACATCCCAATCTCCATCCACTGTGCATCTCCCCCACTTGCGAGTTCTTTTCAATGGCTCACCAGACACCTTCCACCTCCGAACCCCAGTTCGGGCGCTTTTCCAATGGTCTCACCCGCTCCGCTGGGCTGCCCCCGACGCGCCAGGCGCGTGCAAACCTCCGACCAGCCCGTCTCCAAGCCTCAGTGGCCAACGTTTCACGAAACGAGGGCCGAAGGCGCCAGGCAGGTTCGTTCCGTCCATTCTGGCGTTCCGGCCTTCGGATGGAAGTGTTTAACCGGCGTTCCGTCCGTTCCTTCGGTGGTCTTCGTTCGTCGTTCGACAGTTCTTGAGCCGAACGAACGGCTTTGCCACGAAGCACGGTCGGAAGGCACGGAGACTGCTCACGGCTGAGCTCGTGGAGCTCCGGCTAAAGTCTCCAGTCTCGGTTCTCACCGTTCGTTCCCTGTCAGAACAAATCGGAATCCCACGCGACGACGAACAGACGAGGTACATCATACCAGCACAGGCCAGACAGACCGAGCGGATCGTTTGGGAGTCGCGTTGTGGCCGAAAAGAAACGAAGAGAAACACATGAGACACGCAAGACGCAAGTCGTCTCTTGTGTTGGATGCAAGAGCTTTCCACCTGATGTGGCTCTGCGACTCGATTTTTCAAGCGGTGAACTTCCAACGGCACGCTCACCTGCCCTCGAACAGTTGTTCTGCTTTCCCCCGGTCATCAGTTTCGGCGCCGGACGCTCGCCACAGCTCACCATCGCCAGCAAGGCCTGGGCGGCGATGAGGCTTTGGGTCAATGTGCAGTCTTGTTGGCACTTAGTCACATGAAAGGGTCAGAGTCATAGTATTTGTCATGTAATATACATATGTATACATATGTATATATACATATGTATATACCAATACAACTTCTGTAGATTTCTTGAGCAAATCACACACGTCTCAGGATAGCATTGGTGTGAGCCAGCCCCCACTTGTTCGCTGAAGCAAGAAGTTGACTGACTTGGGTTTGGACTGGGAAGTATCAACCAGAGTGGAAGTTTCATTCGCACGATCACCTACACCTTTCACCGTCAAGCCTTCTTGTGCAACGAAACACCATCTGCACTCTAAATCAATTGGTATAAACACCATTTAAAAACGATGCGCACAGAATCATCATGGTCTGCGCGCTACACCCGACCAGTTCGTACCTCCCTCTGCTCGCATTCCAGGGATCCGTGCCCAGAAGAGGCTTGCAGAACCCGGCGGCCAGGAGTCTGTGGGACGCCGAGCCGACGGCGACGGCGATGGAACCCGATGGTTCTTCTTCATCGACACTTTGGCGATCGGGGTCGCACATCATGCTACAGAGAGACCTCTGGTTCCAGAGGAGCCGATGGCTTTCCCCATGTTTGGGGGGGGGCACGCAAAATTAGGTGCTACGTCCTGTGAAGAAGTTTCAGCGAAACAAGCATCATGCTACAAAAACATGTTGTAGAATGATTGCCGCAACATGCCGCAACTAAAATAAAAAACCCTGGAACCAAACTCCAAACCACTGAACGACTCTGTGTCTATCGGGTGCGCAGCAAGTGGGTGTTCATCTCGCTCGACCTTTCCCACTGAGTCGTTGAGGTTGAGAGACCTGAATTGCGACCCGAACCTCGTGCTACACCTCAAGCGGACAGATACATCGTGGCCAGCCATGGGGCCATCAAAAAGACCATAAAAAGGCTTCGGGGCGAACCCACTTGGTACACTTCAACTGCTTCACCCACTTGCTTCGCTCCCCGATGCGCCAGGCAGTGCCGCGCTCGTGTGGCGTGCAGTGCCCCCCGCGCCTTCGCCTGTGAGGTTCGCGGCGGCCGCCGCGCCCAGCGCGCGGTGCAGGGCCCAGCGCAGGGCGCCCAGCCTGGAAGGTCGTTTCCCCGTCCGGACGCGCGCGCGTTCGGCCAGTGTGAGGAAGGTTTCGGTGTGGAATTTTCAAAGATTCTGCTGTTCTTTTGAAGACATTTGGCATTCCGGACACCTTTCCTGACACCTTTTCATCTTGCTGTAGACCCTTAAAAAGTTGGAGATGTTGGGGATACCTGCTAGCCATAGAGCAAGAAGGGTTGAGGTACCATACCGCTGCAAGACTGATGGATTGGACACTTTTCGATCAACGTTCTAAATTCACAAAGGCAAAGAGTTACAGAAGAGTCCTTGCTCCTAGTAGTAAGGCCAGGAGCCCCTAGTAGCGTCCTTGTTCCTAGAGCACAACAGTTAAGGCTGACCCTTTTTCCAGAAGCCCTTGAGTCACGATATCCAAATAACCATCTTCTCTCCCACAACCGCACTGTCCTCTGTCCTCCGTCCTGTCCCTCTGTTCTCCCCACGTCTCCCTCGGCCTGGTGGCCATCAGTTGGTGCACCTTCCGGGCGATGAAGTCCTGTCCGACGGGTCCGACGGATTCTGCGTCCGGTCAAGCGGACTTGGTCAAGTCCTAAGAGACACCAGTCCAACGCAAAGGAATCCTGCTACGAAAGTCTGTTCTTCATTCTTCCCTGATGATGTTTCGGACTCCCTTTCTGAACTCAGGCTTCCAAACATCGGTGTCGGTCCCGCATGGGGTCGCCGCTCCCGTTCTCCTGCTTCAGCGTGCACCAGTCCCCGCCCGAGCGGAAGGTCTCCAGCAGGGACTCGGCACACGCCGGTGGAACGCCGCGCGGTGGAGGGGGGGTGTCGGTGAGGTTCGGAGGGCGGCCTGCAGACCTTCCGGCCTATTTAGGGGAAAAAAGAGACACCTTTCAAGTCTTCAAGCAGGTCACTTCATGTGTCACGCTGCCTTGTGCCAGGGAGGGGAAGCGTATTAGTGAAGATGCCAACGAAGGACATCTTGCCTTGGGCAAAAGTCCTTGTAACAATCCAGAACTCCAGAACGACCCCCACAAACCCAAACAAAAAGTGCAACACTGCGCGCAACAGCCCTCGTCAATCTGCCTTGGTTTCACAGATTGCTGTAAGATTCTGGAGCAATTTGCGATAGACTTAGCTTTTCAAAGGGTTTCCAGGCCAAGCAACCTACTAATCATGCCCCCTCGTTGGACATCGTTGGATCACCCCGAATTGCTTGGCACCGTCCCCATACCCCGGCACCTCCCTCCTTCCGTCCTCACATCACCGACACCGGCGCTCCGGACGGCCCAATAGGCGGAGGCATCGTCCCAGTAGGCGCGCCACGCCTCCTGGAGAAGCACGACCGGGAGAGAGCAGGCGGGCGAGGCGGATGGGGGGTAGGGGGGTATGGGGGGGGACGAAGGAAAAGGCCAAAATGGAAGATGGCGACATGGCCAACTTGAAGTAGATGCCTGGGAGCAAACGGAATTTTGGAAGCTCTCCCTCATCTCTTCCTCCCTGGTCTCTCATCTCTCATCTGGCTTTTTCAGGTTTACGGGCTCCACCCGGTAACTGCAATGGCCCTCTACACCTTCTTTCGACCAACTCCCACGAGGCTTCCAACCTTCTTCCATTACTAGCAGCTTCTTGTTCCTAGTGAAAGGCCAGGAGCTACTAATGGCGTCCTTGCTTCTAGTAGCGATGCCAGGAGCCCCTAGTAGCGTCCTTGCTCGTAGCCCACTCTGCCGGTCCTTCAAGCCCTTGAGCTCCGGCACCTGTCGTCGGTTCGGAGCAGACTTTCCAGCGAAGCCGGAGAGAAGCTTTTGGAGGTCCAAGCTTGAGAAGTCCGGCTTTTGCTCGGATAACCGGATGGAAGAAGACAGTTGGGAAGAATCTCTGCTGGACGGTTGTGTCATCACATGTTCTTCGAACACAAGAAATCTGGAGGGAGCAATTCCGTTAGGCCTTAGACACGGCTGTTCCGCAATTGACTTGAATTGATCAACCTTGAGATCTATCTTGTTCGAAGAACGAACCAAGTCCTATACCATTGCCAAACGAGCTTCCCCCCAAAACCCTCAACGAGCTTCCACCTCCCTTTTGCATCCTCAACAACATACGAAAGAACATCCTCCACGTTTTCACTCTTGGGAGTCCATTTCTGCTTCCCCACTCCTCCCCACTCCTCCCTCCGTCCAGGCTGACGCATCCGTCACAAACGGCTCGTGTTCTTTCTACCCCCGTCCCGCCTCGGTCGCAGGCAGCAGGCTGGTGAGGAGCTGCAGCAACGGGCGCGAGTGAGGCGGGCCCAGAACGGACACTTCTGTGCTTTTTGTTGGAGCTCCCTTTTTTTGATGCTCTCATCTGGTGGCATAGAACATCGAAGTCACAAGAAACAATTGGATTGCTGGCATCTGCACACACCAGCGCCGCAGGACACGCCGGGTCGATCGATCGCACCGCCGTCGGCTTCGGCCCGAAAGCGAACGCAGCGCCTGCAAGGCGGTGAGCCCCAAGCCCTGCGCGTCGGCGGGGCGTTTGGTCGGTGAGGAATATTCTGCGAGTGACTTTCAAGAGGGTGTCCAACAGAGGTAGCCAGTGACCGGGACCATAGGACCTTACAGGGGTACCTATAGGATATAGTCTATAGGGTTCTTCAACCTCTGCTGTTGTGGCTAAAGTGCTTTGAGTGGATGATCCAAACCTTGATCGACACAAAGCACATTCCAATGCGTCCTAAGTGCGAAGCGGATGTAGCATGCCTCAGTTCAATTTAGGATCTCAGAAAACGGTGGAGTGTCCAAGGGTGACTGGCCAGTGGATGGTTTGCTAATCCGGAGCAAGGCAAAGCTAAGGTGTATAATCACCCTCCCCCCAAAAAGATTATGGACACGGACACCGGCCTGTTGATCAAAGGAAAACCATCTTCGTTGGTTGGATGGAGGGCAGAACGACCTGCCCATGTAGAACCTCCTCACACATCCTCCGGCCGCCCCACACATGGCATTTCCGTGCCTGCAGGTCGAGGTGCGTTTGGTACTCTGTGCACAAGGGCTCCTCCTGGAGCGACTTGGCCCCGGTGACACGCAAGAAACCCGCAGGAACACCTTCAAACATTCACAAGGACCCACGTGTTGGCACGATTTGGAGCAATGAAACGACATAAATGATGCACATCGGTTTGGGCACAAAGGAAACCTTCTGGAGAAACCCGCTTCTGACCATTTGATGCCTTGACGCCGCTATTTTCAGCTGTGCTGGACGGTTTCCTTTTCACATCGAGTTTATCCCCATGAACCTGCCCAACATTCCATTGAACAGGAGGGTTCCCACAGAAGGACCTGTGAAGGGAAATCTTTTCTGTTGCTCCCTGGCTGAACCATGTCTTTCTTCCGTTTGGCGTCGTGTGCACACGGAGAAACGCACCTTCTTCTCAAAGGCAAATGGGGTTCGGTCAACAGTCACACCGCACATATATCATCATATCTTGCACTATCCCTCGGCACACTAACAGCAAGCACAAAGATGAGCACCACGAAGCGCACAAAAAAAAATTGACCCCAAAAGGTGATGTCTGAAATTTCACTCACCCCTCCCTAAACTAGAAAAGTCTATTCTAAATCTGCAGCCGCCTTTTCTCTAAGCTCTCTCTAGCCTGTGGTCCACTCCTACGGTGCACTGTGGCCCTTGGCAAAAACAGGCTCGCGTTCAAGTTCAAGTACTGAACAAAGCTGGCGGCTATGTGACTGGAGATCAAGCATGACTCTCTGCATTATGGAACTTTTGGAACCTGCTCAAGGGGTTAGGTAACTGAAGTCACTGTTGGCTGGAACAGGGAGAGGCTTCAGCCTGGCACTGCCCTTCCTAGAGCAAAGGTCTGGTTGGGCTATGGCGGTGGCTGGCTTCAGCTGGGGCTATAGGTTGGCCTGGAGAGGTCCGCCTACTAAAGTAAATGTCTGGACCGCCGGCGGCTTCCCTTACTATAAGAAAATAAATGTCCGGCTCGGTCTGGGGCTGGCTTGGCTTGGCCCGGCGAGGTGCCCTAAAGTACATGTCCAGCTGGAACTGGGGCTGGATTGGCCCGGTCGCTTAGTAAAGTAAACGTCCGGCTATTCTGGTGCTCCTCCCGCCACCGAACTTGTGCTATTCTGGTGCTCCTCCCGCTCAACATCGGTGGTTCCACCACCAGGGCTTGTGAGCGGGCCGCTGCGCGCTTCGACTCCGGCATCTCGATGACAATGGAGTCAAGGTGCCAACCAAGGTGGCCAAGCTTGTTGAGCCACTTCAGGGAGTCGAGAGCTCGGCTGGGGCCTCGGGACCCTTTGGCAATGAACGAGATGCTCAACGGTCGCGCGATCCCAGGCCCGCACGAACTGCACCAGCCCGCCCCACGCACGAACCATGTTGACGATGGTCTGCGGCTCTGACTTCGTGACCTTCACCTGGGCGAGCCGGGTCAACTGGAGCTTCCATTCGTTCAAGATGGACTCGGACAGGTTGCCAACCCCCAAAGTTGTGCTATTCTGGTTCTCCTCCCGCCACCGAAGTTGTGCTATTCCGGTGCACAGAACTTGCGTGCCATGCCATGCCATGTCCTTACCGTGACAAACAATGGCCATGCATGTTAAACAGACTTCATCCCTGCCAGTCCAGCATCAAAATCCACAAATTTTCTCATCGCCTTTAAACAATTGTCAAAATGAGCACCACTACACGTTCAGTTTCCGAAAGGATTCTCAATGGTTGCAAGAATGCCTCGACGGGACACCTGTGGCAAAAATCTGTGTGGGAGCAAACATCTGTCGGAATTTCGGAATCCTGCTCTCATAGGCCTGGCGAAATCTTTGGATTATGCCACCGTTGCTGCTAGAGGTTCCTAGCTCTGCTAGCAATTCCGCAAGCTAGAACGAAATGATCCCAGCCTAGCAAAGGACAGGACCCATTGCTCAGGTTGCCCGTGCCGAGTGCAAAGGAGATCAAAATGAATGATCGTCGAGAATGCCCCGCCCTTCCTGACTTTGTCACTTGCAATGTTGTTCCCTAATCCTAGCTGCTTGGCGGTTGCTGGGCATGTGTTCAATCCGCTCCTTGCCAAACGAATTCGAGTGTCCTCAGCTTGCCTTCGCTCAACTTTGAGATAGCAAAGGATATTGTTTTTAGAAGAGCAACGCGCCATTCCAACGTAGCGGGCCTCATGTGAGGCACCCGAATGAAATATTCAGAGGAGGAAGGAACCGTTCCAACGTAGCAAATCTTGTGAGCCACCCGCGGATAAAATCTAGAAGAGGAAGGTGTAGCGGACCTTTGGTGAGCCATGGGCGGTAAAACTTAGAGGAGGAAGGTGCCATTCCAACCTAGCAGACCATTTGCGAGCCGGGTAAAAATTTGGAAGAAGGGGGCGTCACTCCAACGAATGCAAGAGCTTAGAGGACAGATGTTTTGTGAGCCACCCGACGGTAACATTGAGGACCCGCACCTTTTTGAGACTTGCTGTGGAGAGGTCAATTGCATGTGTACTTGGTGCTCAAAGGCCATTGGTGGTTGTAATTTGGCCACACGGTGTGCCACAAACTAAACACAACAATGTTACATCAAGCCTCGTGAGCAAATCCCGCTCCCCAGCGCACGATCTCCGCAAAGGGCTCATCCAGCCCACCCGAATTCGCATTTCACCTCAGCTTTGACCACTGAACGGAACCATTCCAACGTAGGAGATTTTTTGTGACTTGTGAGCCATCCCAGCATTATTAGGCAGACCTGGTGTGAGCCACCCAAGAATAGAATTTAGAGGAAGAAGGTGTCCACTGTAGCAGACCTGTGTGAGATAGGCGAGGTTACAATTTACAGCCTTTTGTGAGCCACCGGCAAAAAAAGGGCTGTCACGCGAGCGTAGAATTTAGCGGAGGCAGGTGTCATTCCAGAGTAGCAGACTTTTGCGAGGTGCCGGGGTAAAATTCAGGAGGAAGGTTTTGTGAGCCACTGGTTCTGCGGATGCGATTTGATGTGTTCCAAATTGAATCTAATCACGTGTTCGAAAGTGAATCGGCTACCATTTACTGTACGTAGCAACACCCCAGGAAATACATCAGATATTCTGAGGCTGAAGTAGGACCCCAGCGAAAGTTACATTGGCTACAGATGTCTTTACTCCTGCCACATCCTAGCGAACTGACGCGACATCACAGCACCAAAACAATTCCGCTGCATCACTACAGCAAGATTTGTGCAGTCAAGCCAGATCCCCACCGGCTCACCCAAACAAGATCCCAGCACCAAAGCAATTCTAGTGCAGAACTAGCAAGTGTAGTATTACGATTTGCATAGCAGCAGCTCTCGAAAAACCACACCTGCAAGCTGCAGGTGTACTTGTCGCATACTTACAAGCGCAACTCTATCCGTCTCCACTATACTGTAGTAATGCAGATCTGCAACGCAAACCCTTTTGTACAGCCGCCAGCTCCGGATGGCAGTGTTCTCCGTCGGACCTCAACCGCAAGTGCAGGATGCCACCGTTCCCCGCCAGGCCTCAACCGCCGGTTTCGGATGGGGGTGTTTCCGGCGGACCTCAACCGCGAGCTCTGGCTGGCAGTGTGCCCCGCCGGACCTCAACCGCCCCGCCGGACCTCAACTGCGAGTTCCGCCTGGCAGCCACAGCTTGTCCAGCGCCAAAGTGTGAGGCTTGAGCAACCACAAGGGCGCGTCTTGCTTGAAACAAGAATTATACCAGCGTAGACCCCAAACAGCTTCAAAATGGCTCGCTTAGACCCTTATTAATATTAGTCAACAAACGATTTCTTGGTACGCCCTACCTTCGCCCCAAGAGCACACTGCTTCATCAACTACTTGTTCGGCCACACGCCTCTCCAGTAAACCGGGCCACAGAGACCAGCCACAGAGTTCAGGGGCGCGACCAAGACAAGGACAAGAGGAGGACAACGGACACAGAGCCCAGCCACAGAGTTCAAGACAAGGACAAGAGGAGGACAAGGCCCAGCCACAGAGGACAAGAGGAGGACAAGGCCTGGACACAGAACACAGCCCAGCCACAGAGGACAAGAGGAGGACAAGGCCTGGACACAGAGCCCAGCCAGAGAGTTCAGGGGCGCGGCCAGTGAGTGTGGCCAGCTCTTTTTTTCCTAAGATAGAACCCCAACAGTAAACTGTTTGGGGAACTAGAGGCAAGATGTTGGCAAGCTTGGGCTCCAAAGTTGCTACGGGGAAGAGCGGCCCTTTCATTTTCATCGCAAGATTGAGCCTAACAGGACCGATGAGTGTATGGTGGCCTTTCCACCTGTCGGTCTCAGTTTTCAACACCGGCATCGAGCAATGCATCGTCTTCGATGGTTTGCGCTGGGTCTTGTCCCTTGGCCAGCTCCTCCTTGAGAGGTCAAACAGGCACCGGAAGTCCTTGGCCGTATGGATGGTGCGGCCGCAAATGCCAGACAACCTAGGACACATTGAACAGCAGGCCACGTGATCAAGACCGCCGTTGTCTCCTTCACAAAGTGTTCCCGGCGGTGATGAGCTGTGCCCCGAAAGACCACGGCCAAAGGTCAGCGTAAACGGCGTGGAAAGCTGACATAGCGAGACCTGCCGCTGCCAAAGCCCAGAGGAACTCCAAGAGCACCACTTCATACGCAATCTGTGGTGCCCTCACCAAAATACTAGGACAAGGACAAATAAGCTCAAGCTATTCCAAGGCCCTGACGCGAAGAACATCGCATGTTCCTCTGTGCTTCTTGGCAGCTTTGCGCTTTGTCAGAGTATGTGCGGCATGGTCACCCATCCAGCAAGCCGGTCGGCAACTTTCCCTGGCAGGTCCAGGTAGCAGGGACAATGGAACTCCTCCGGAAACCGGCTCTTGGAGGGCACCAATGCCAGCATCCTGCGTAATATTGACCTTCTCGACTGGGGCCCCTGCTTTGGCTAGCCACACGGTGGCTTACAAGCCGCGGGTCGGTAACAGCAGCAGACGTGTCGGCGCTGGTCTGTGCAGCTGGGCATTTTGGTCGTTGTGGGCGCGCTGCGCATCGTGGTGCCTGCCAGATCGTCTTGATGAA